CGTACGTAACGTAACGTACGTACGTAAGTAACGTAAGTAAGTAAGTAAGTAAGTAAGTAAGTAGTAGAGTAGAGTAGTAGTAGAGAGAGGAGGAGGAGGAGGAGGAGGAGGAGGAGGAGAGAGAGAGAGAGAGAGAGAGAGAGAGAGCTCTGGGCTTTTGATCCCTAGCTTGGGTGTGAGGAAGAAACCCTACGGTTTCTGCTAGTTATTGCTTGTGTTTGGCTTGTTTTCTTATTGATTTTACTTTCTCTATCAATTTTCCTATAGCAACTTTGTAAGGCAGCAACCCCACTAACGGTAAAATAAGGACTTTTGAATAACTATATTTGTTATGACAAAAGAACATCGTCACTGAAAGGAAACTTGTTAGTTGGAAAAGAAATCAAAGAAATAATTCCATAAGCTCAAGAACTAGACCGTGATTACCAACAACTTGAAATATTAGGAACTCTATGGCCCTATACGACTCATAATCATAGAGTCCAAATATGCCCTTCCATAACTTCATCAATTCAAGAACCGTGTGCATATACGTTAAACCAATGATTATCATATTTTTATCCTAGAAGTGGCTAGACTTTAGAGCCAAGTATCTGAGATTACCAATAAATATCATACACACCACTTTTGAGTAGTGCTTCAATGCTTTCATCTAATTTACCAAAAGATACCCAAAGTTCACATCTACTAAAAAATAAATCCCACAAGACTGAATGCACATCTCCAGGCAAATGTACATTTGCTAAACAAAGGGGAACATTCATATTTAATTCTGTACCTGTGACTTTGTGCATTTTGTGTAATATCAATACGCACACAAGTGGTATTTCAAGAAAACCATAAACCATAAGTAAAATATATGTATCCATACCACTCCCTGATTAACCCAAAATGAGCTAGTAAAAGTGTAGAAAAATGACGACAAAAGTAAGAGAAATGCAGAAGATAGCCTCTAAATGTGAAACTCAAACTTTCGAGCACCCTTTTGTTATGCTATATGTGACTATGGAAAGACAAATGTACCCATGGACATATGTAAGTACTAAGAAGTCCTTAAGATGGAAAAATACACTACATCATCATAATTGACATTGTTATCCGAGCCTTATCCCAACTATTTGGCATTGGCTACACGAATCTTGTTCTGCTATTCTGCTTTGTCAAGGGCCATACCCTCAATCAAACCATTCGTTATCACATTTTTTCTCACTACTTCTAACAATGTCTTTTGGCTCTTCCCCTTACCTTTTCATGGCCTTCCACTTGAACCAAATCATCCCTCCTAACTTGTGTTATTCTATGTCAATGCTGCCCATGACCAAACCATCTAAGTTTACTTTCCCTCTTTTTATTGCCTATTGGAGCTACCCTTAAGTTCCCTTTAATGTATTTGTTTTGAGCTCTATCCTTCCTTGTATTTCCACTCATCCATCTCAACATCCTCATCTACAGTCATTCTATAGAAATGTTATTTCTTCACCACCAACCTTCCGTCTTAGAAAGCATAAATGGTCTTATAGACGTCCTACAGAACTTCCCCTTCAACTTCATAGATATGCGACAGTCACGTAATACTCTAGAACTCCACTTCTTCCACCCAACTCTTATTTTATAAACAATGCAACGCCTTCCTCAATCTCTCCTTTCTCATGGATTATTATCGACCCAAGATATCAAAAATAATCTCTATCGGGTACTTCTTGGCCAAGCATCTTAACTAATTCCTCCTTTCTGCTCCTATTATTACTAAACTTGCATTCTATACATTGTCTTAGTTCGGCAAATTCTAAAGCCTTTGAATTCTAAACCATCCCACCAAAGTTCTAACTTTGTATTTACGTTGTCTTTAGTCTCATCAATCAAAACTATGTCAACCACAAAATACCACGAGACCTCTTCCTATAGATGCCTAAAAACTCGTCGATAACCAAAGCAAAAAGGATAAAAACATAACAAAAAATTACCCAAAAAGAAAAGAATAAACAATGATATGAAAATTTTAAGGATGTTTTCGATATTTGAGCTTCCATGTGCCCCCCCCCTCCCCCCAAAAAAAAAAAAAACAAAAAAAGAAAGAAAGAGAAAATACATAAAAGAAGGAATTAAGAATGACAAAAAAATCCAGACCAAGAAGACAAACAGCAGTATCCTACAACAAAACCCATAAAACTTTTTTTCTTTATTAAGTGACAAAAGCCTTTAACCTTGTCGAGCTAACGAAACCCCTTGGGACCGTAAACTTACATAACGATATCACTGGGCTCCTTGATGTATTACAAATATAGCCTCTCATAAATAAAATAAATAATCACAACCATACATGGTGGATCCCCTTCGGTCTTGCCCCTTTTTCTACAATTAGCATTCGCCACAATTTTTGTGATGCATTTTCCAGCCTATGTGAACATTCATTTTGCTTTCAGTACTTCCTTGAAATTTTACAGTAATATTCCCTTGTCCTTTCAATACAAGCACTCTGTTGTGTAGTGAATCAAACTTAAAGCGAACATAAATACACAATTACAAATATATCTGTATGCATATGCATGGAATCAAACATTCTAGATACTTACACATACCTATACAAATACATCAGACATAGACACACTCCAGTAAGAAAACTCTTCTAAGCATTTTTGCAAAAGACCATGAAACATCATATCATAATTGTTGGGATCAGGAGTAAGAACGGCACCTAGACCAAGAGTGGGGGATCGTGAAATGCTGAAGATCCCTATGGTTGGGACCACCGTACATACAATGCACATGCTAGGGATTGAGATCCCAAATATTAGGGATCGGTATTCCAACCTTTAGGGGATCATTATCCCAACCTTTTTGGGATCTTGATCCCAACCTTTTGGGATCTTGAACCCAACTTCTAGGGAATCATGCTACCAATCTTAAAGTGTAGGATAATCTAGGATTATGTGTACTCTTTAAAATAGGAGTCTCATTATTGATAGCAAGCAAGCAATGCAATTATATTAAAAGTGCTAGCTGGCTATAAATAAATATAATCATCAATTTGGTTGGTGTCTTGGTCTTTAGGTTGGGATCAACATTCCTAACAACAGGAATTGGGATGCCTACCAGTAGGGATTGATATCCCAAAATTTAAAATTCCCGAGAACCGTTCTGGGAGCTGCAGAATCGAGACCCTAGAAGGATTGCCTACCAAAGTTGGAGATTCCGGTAAGCATGGATCGTATTAATCTTTCTAATACAGAACATATTAAACTTTCTAATATTACCAATCGATATTAGATTTAGAAAACTGAATGCCACATAAATCACTAAACCTAAAGAAGTCGACCACCAGGCCACGCATTGATAAGATGGTGATGACGCTCATGAACAAAGATTTCCTATGGTCAAGTGGATCACAGTATACTTAATAACATATCAAAGAAAACTCTGCTCAAGCAATGCATCTCTTTATGATGGCCATACCTTTAGCTCACAATGGCTGCCGCAAATAGAATTATCATGACCTGCAGATTGCTCTTGTAGCATTTCAAACTGCAGCAAATATGGCACACTAAAATGTAAGAGCATTGTATTACATTTAGAAATAATAATGAACCCAGCAAAAACATGGAAAGGGAATCAAATCTCACAGCATCCATTTGAAATAACTTTTGAAAAATTAACTTCATAATTTGGTCCTCATAGGTCTTGAATAATAACACTGAATATTGTGCAATGCAACCCAAAGACTGTAACATAGTTGGATTGATTCGGCCAGCATTTAGAGATTCCACAAGTTCCTGCCTCGCAGGCAGAAGAGACGTCAGCATAATGAACAAAGCTAAATGCAAGTAATGCACATAATATAAGACTGAAATTAGTACAAAGGGAAGGGATTGAATTTCTATCTCCCACCAGAGTTACTACCTTTAAATTTAGTTACCTGAAATGCCTGGGAAAAGTCTATGGGAGCAGCAGAACATGAAGAAACAAATGTCGATTAGGAATTATCAAAGAAACCATGAGAGTGTTCAGAGTGGGATGCTTACTCACGCGCTAGGTTCCTACAACTAGTTAAAATTTACAAAGCATCTGCAACATCATCATTTTATGTGTTACAAAACAAACAAGGAAATCGGTCAACAAGATTTGGAATAACCTAGCCTGGTAATCATTCAAAACATGAAAGCCACTTTCTGAACATCCATCAACTTTCCGAAGAAAAATACGAGCCATCCACCAGATTTCTTTTTTCTTTTTTTTTTTTGGATTTCTTTTTACCAATTACCTCCAGAAGAAGTAATCTGACACATAAGAGAACTAAGCCAGAGAAGCTACCTATCTAACCCAACAACTCCCCAACCTCAAACCCCTGCCCCCCCCCAACCACACACACGGAAACCACGAACCTAATAGAAAAAAGGATAGAAGAAGCAGCAGCAGCAACTGCAGCCAATATTAGGTTGGCTCAGCTACGAAATGAACATGCAACCACATTTCAAGAAACTCTTGGGGAACTACACAATCGAATAAACAATATAAGAAAACGACAGGACGCATGCACATTCAACTACCTTTTTTCTGTGTCATGGACCAAACTTGCTCTATAAGCTTGATATATTGACTAAAATGAAGGAGGTACCTTGTAAAGGTGTGAGAAGGCCTGCTCACTGGAATCAGCATTCAATGAGGCAAGTGCAGAAATAGAATACTTGGCTTCCAGGCGAGTCCCCTCCAAACCTAGTTCCCTCAAGATGCGATATAAAGTGCTAAAAATGGAAAAATAATGAAAATTTCGTGTCAATGTGAAAGAATCGTTTAATTCTAAACAAAGGTATGCTTAAAATGCATGAGCAAACTATCAAGAACAGATTAGCCAACAAACATATTTAATTTCCAGCATTCCAAACTTGAGAATATTACTTTTATGTTCTCAACAGTAAGCTGTATTAAATAGGCGGGGATCCAGTTGTTTCTTGCAACCCATGATCATTTAACCTCTCATTTATCAGCCTATACAGTAATACTGAATGAAGTATGAGCAAAATTAACAGACAGTAAAGACAAGTAATTATCTTGATAAGCATATACAAGCATTGCATACTTAAAAAGGTGTGTTCTTCTTCAGAGATCTGCAGAAAACTATGCAGCCATAGCATTTGCATCCACACATGATGCTCCCACTTCAAAGATTACTCGAGGAAACTAGACTTCCTCAGCACTCCAAACCCATGGTTCCACAAAAACCCACCTTCCCCACTCCCTCAAACAAATGCATAAATTGTCTATACACAAATAATAAATTTAAGACAATTAGTAAACCAATAAATTTTCTCAAAGGATGAAAATAACAGAAAATTTCAAAAATTCATCAAGGAGTTTCTTTAGCAGCAGAAGACCCCACATCTGGATACCATATCCAGTTACAGCCATCTCAGGCAAGCATCAGGCAATAAGATATCCCCTCCAGGAGATCATGACAATGTCTGTAATACAAATGGATGATGGTAAACCAAAAAAAAAAACTCGATGGCAGCCTTGGCTACATTTGAGTTAGTTGTTGGGGGCAAAGACAGCGAGAACCCTCAAAATAATTTTTTTGAGATCCAACCACCAAAAAATGTTGATGAGGATAATATTATATATTGTGTATCACAAATACACCTGGATCCCACTTTGGAGTGAGTAAATTTGGCCAATGGCATGGAATCAGGGAATAAATCATTCTGAATGGCTCATATTAGCAAGCATGAAAAATATTCAAATATATCCACATTTAAACTAAGGAGACAATTTATGACTTCATATAATACTGAATAAGCTTGTAGCAGAGTAAATTCCTTTCATTGTAACAGCCGCAGTCCAGAGCTGTTAGTGAGATCATAAATATATTTGGCAATCTCATTATGACCAGACCAGACCAACCGGTCCAGATTGGAAACTGGCAAACTAGTGCCCCAAACGGCCGATATAGGGATCTAGAACTCAGGGAGCACTAAATCAAAAACTGCCTGAACCGGCAAGTTTAGACCAGACCAACTAGTTGAACCAGAGTGAAAAGACCAGTTTTGATCAAACTTAATAAAATTTTATATTTTTTCTTTATATTTTCATTGGTCTAACTGGTGAAATGGCCAGTCCGACCTGTTTGGATTGGACCGGTACCCTCACCAGTTCAATGACCAGTCCGGTCCAGATAATACCGATATTTGTTACCCACTGGCAAAGCCACCCCCTTAAGCATACAAGATTTAAATGTTCAATTTATGTTAAAGAGCAATACTAAGGAATCACCTGAATTTGATGTGCATTACGGGGCCTGCCTTAGTTAACAGCAAAAGAAGCTTATCTTTTGAAGGTCCATCATTCTCGGTTAACAGTCTCACAAATAGTTCTTCAGATCCTCTTAGCAAAAGAGGAAAGAAGCTCGCAACTATCTGGATCATAAAAGCAAAAAAGAGATTAGTATTCTTAGAAAATAAAAGCAAATAAGAGATTTGTATTCTTAGAAAATTAGAACAAGAAGGAATCAATTTAAGATGGCAGTAGCACCTTACTATAATCGAGAATATAAGCAACATGAAACATGAATGTACACTGCAGAAATAAACTAACATCTGAACCTAAGCATCACAGGCCATCAATGATTTCACATAAGCCAACTTTATATTTGATTCGGAAAAGAAGGCTTCAACGAAACCCATGATATCTTTTATGCAATTCACTTAGAAGATCCATACAGATCCAAATAACTCAATATTACCAAAGTAATAAACTGGAACTTGATGCAAGATGACAAATTTTTAGATCAATACTCAGATAAAGCTAGGCACCTCATGGAATATGAAAACATGCCTGCATCCAGAAAGTTTAGTATTAGCTTTCTTTCTCTAGAAAGAGGAGCTACAGTAGCAGAAAGGGGAATCCGCCACCAGGTATGATCGGCCCTCTGGCGTGGTTCTAGCCAGCCACCTCATCAACGCGCTATCATCCTCACTACTGCTCCCACTATGAATCTGGCCCCTCAAGAGATGCAGAGTGCTGGGAAATCGAAGTCAAAATCTCCCTAAATTGTTTGTCATACTGTCTCTTTTTAATTATCGTTAATTCGTAAACATGTAATTCTCTTCAAGCTGTGTTTTTTTTTTTTTGATAATGTTAACCTCGTATTACTTATAAAAGAAGAAGTATACAACAGAAGGAGGGAGGAGAGGACCGAGAAAACCTTCGAGACAGGTTTCTCAGTCACAAAGCAGCCAAAAAACCTATACAATCTATAACCTGTTGCAGATGCTGATACCAAGAGAGAGGATACGCAAAAAATTGGGCTTATAAGGTCGCCCTTTTACAAAAATGTACAACCAAAAAGACTAGTGTCCTGGGAGATCTCGAAGGTCCAGTGCAAAAAAGGAGGTGGACCATTCGTTGTCATCCATGTGTCGCGCACCATCTTTAGCAAGAAGGTCGGTGAACTCGTTCGATGTCCGCCAAATATGCCTCCAACAGACGTTGATAACCCTACAAAGGCGGTAAATTTCATCAAAAATTCTAGAAAGGTACCAGGGAGGGGTGGTCGTGCCTGCTGCCCATGAAAGAATGTTTTTTGCATCTCCTTCCACCACTAAGGAATGACCCCAGGAAGGATTAAAGAGTCTAAGGCCCATAAGGAGTGCCAGGGCTTCAGCGAATTGTGAATCTCCATGCCAACAAATTCTGAGTATGTCCATTGAACATTTCGGTTGTGGTCACGGAAAACCCCCTACTCCTGAAGGGCCTGGGTTTCCTATAGAACAACCATCGAAGTTTAGCTTAATGGCTGTATCTAGAGGACGTAACCAGTTGTGAGATCTTTGAAGCTTGAGAGGCTGAATTCGAATAATGTTATCCCATTGCCTGAGGAAAGAACTCAAAGGAATCCCACCAAAGATCTTATGGGTGGAGGCCCAAAAGGTTACATGGGATGTAACCTTATGAAATAGAGCAGAGACTTCATGTGTATGCCCTTGAAAGATCCTCTCATTTCTTTCAAGCCATAAAACCAAAATTGTAGCAGCTAAAGCTGCCCTCCACAAGGTTATGCCTGCTTTGGGCCAAGGACCTCCACAGTAATGAAGAAATAAATCTTTTACCGAGTGTGGGAGGACCCAATTGAAACTAAACAGTTGTAGGATCTGTGTCCGAAGCTCAAAAGCCACACTACAGTGTAGAAAAAGGTGGTGGTTAGACTCCTCTGTCAAACACATAACACATCTGTTTGGTAGTGGCAGTCCCCTTTTTTGGAGCTGATCAAGAGTTAAGGCCCTATGACAACCGGCAATCCAATTGAAAGACTGAACTTTTGGAGGAGCTATTGTGTTCCACACCTTGGAGAGGGGAGAAATGGGATTTAGAGGGAAAGTAGGGGGCTGGGTAAGAAGCTTATAGAAGGATGCAACTGAAAACTTACCCGAAGTGGATAGTGTCCATACCAAAGAATCACTTCCTGATAAAGGTAGGAACACTGGGTGAAGAGCAGCAGATAGAGTGGAGAACTGTAAAGGTTCCTTCGAAAGGAAGGGTTCCAAGAACTACGCCCTGCAGCCAAGACCATTTCGTCTGCAATACTGGACTCTTTGTTGGCAACAAGTTGAAACAGGTCAGGAAAAAGATCCCTAAGGGGAGCATGTCCAATCCACAAATCCGACCAAAAGCGAACTCTGCTTCCATGTCTAGAATGGAATCGAATCACTTTCTTGAACTGAGCGAGGGAGGAGGCGAGGGATTTCCAAATTCCTAAAGCCCTACTCTGTTAGGGCCTTTTAGGAACCCAAGAGTGGTCCATAATTTTATATTTCTTCCGAAAAACCTGTGCCTAGAAGGAGTTTAGTTGGGTGGCCAATCTCCACCACCCCTTCCCCAAAAGGGCCTGATTATGCTTTCTCAGATCTCTGATACCCAGACCACCTTGGGCTTTTGGCAGTTGGATTCTATCCCAAGACATAAGGTGGTGACATGTTTTTTCAGCCCGGCCGGACCACAAAAAATTCCTCATCGGTTGGTCCAGTCTCTTAACCACCAACGCTGGCATATGGAAAATGAACATTAGATAGACGGGGGAGTTGGCCAAAGTCGCCTTAACCAGCGTAAACTGACCAGCCAGAGAAAGGAATCTGGCTTTCCCTCCATCAACCCTATCTATGACATGGACCCAATGTCTCTTTTTGGGTTTCCCTAAATCTAAAGGAATCCCCAAGTAAGTGGAAGGAAGGTCCTCTATTTTACAGTCCCAAGAAGGAATCAAGGATCTAATATCTTGAGGTGTGAGGCCCACTCCCATCATCTTAGATTTTTCCATATTTACTTTGAAACCAGTGGCGATCTCAAAACATTTGAGGAAGATTCTGAGGTTCTAAATTTGTTGGGGGATCGCCTCTAAGAAAACTAAGGTATCATCTGCGTACTGCAAATGTGATACCCTAGGGCCTTGTGAGCTACAGAGAAAAGGCGAGAGAAGCCTTTCTTAGTAGATACGAGAGATCGATCTGCTGAAGACCTCGTCAACTATTGTGGAAAGAAAGGAAGAGAGAGGGTCCCCTTGACGGAGCCCCCTCGAGACGACAAAGAAGCCTTTTGAGCTACCATTTATAAGGATAGAAAAGAGGGGGGTAGAAATACAACCTCTTATCCACTTTCTCCATCAAGGGCCAAAGTTCATTCTTGCCATAGTCTCATCCAGCAACTGCCAGTCGACATGGTCATAAGCTTTCTCCCAATCAATTTTGAAATCAATCCAGGTTTCTTAGAAAGAAACCTAGAGTGAATACACTCATGAGCTACCACCACACCATCCAGAATCAACTTGTCTTGGATGAATGCCGATTGGGATTGCGAAATGATGAGAGGAAGGACCTGCTTGAGTCTTGAGGCCAAAACCTTAGCCAGAATTATGTACCAAGAGTTAAGTAAGCTAATAGGACGAAAGTCCTTAAGCTCTTCAGCCCCTTCTTTCTTGGGGACAAGAGCTATAAAGGTAGCATTGATAGCTTTGTTGAGAATCCGCCTATGAAAGAATTCTTCAAAGAAACTCCTGAAATCAGGTAGGAAGGTACCCAGGAAAGATTTAATGGGGACCATGGGAAAACCATCAGGCCCCGGGGCTTTGTCATTTGCTAGCTGATCAATGTCGCTAGAGATTTCCTCAATTGTAAAAGGTTTTTCCAATTCGCTAGACCAATGGTCCGGAACTAAAAGGAAATCCAAAGTGGTCATCCTGGGCCCCTAGGGCAGAATAGAGGGTTGAAATGTAATTAAAGATGGCGTTTTCAATTTCATCTGGCTGGGTAAGAAAACTGTTATCCACCTTAATAGTGGATATCAGATTCTCTCTCCTTCTACAATTGGCAACCCGATGAAAGAAAGCAGTGTTCTGATCCCCTACTTTTAGCCATTTCACAGTGGATCTTTGGTACCAAAAGAGCTCCTCTTTCTTAAGAGTAGCAAGGTATTACAGCTTAGATTGGGTTCGTAACTGTCTTCGGAGTCTAACAGGGGTCCGACCTCCTCAATTTTATCAAGATCTTGGATGCAGCTGAGCCCAGAGCTTTTAATTGCGAGTAGTTCCTAGGCTGAGAAAGTCCCCAGCTTTTCAAGAACCTTTTGAGTAGCTGGATTTTTTATTGTAGCTTGAATCCCTCTCTACCCGAGACTTGGGAGGAGAAAGAATTCCACCAACTGGGAATGAGAGTCGCGAGGGACGGCTCTTCCAACCAAGTCAGTTCAAACCGAAAAGGTTTAGGCCCCCTGCTAGAAACTTGTGTCTAAAAGAATGGGGCGATGGTCAAAGGTAGGTTTAGGTAGGGTCAAAGTATGTGAATTTGGAAAAGCAGATTCCCAGTCCAATGACAGAAGGAAACGATCCAATTTGGCTAGAGAGGGCTGAGCAGAGTGGTTAGACCAAGTAAAGGCATTCCCTTGAGTAGGAATGTCTAAAAGTTCATGTCAAGAGATGAAGTCAGAAAAGTCCAGCATACCATGGGAGACATTAGTGTTGAGGTTTCTCTCATGAGACCAACGGGTGATGTTAAAATCACCACCCAGGCACCATGCAGAATGTGGTAAGGCAGCAACGTGATCCAATTCAAACCATAGGCGGGGGCGTAGGGAAGCTGCATTTGGGCTATAAATGGCGAAAAATTTAAGCAACACACCATCACTTGTCCTGGAGAGAAGGACAGTGACTGCGAAATCTCCTATGTGAGAAGATAGAAGATTAAACTCAGTTGGTTTCCAGATAACCCAAATTCCACTCGAGGCCCCTAGCGCTGGTAAAGATTCCCATTGACACAGCCTTTTGTCTCACACACTGCGAATGGACTGCACAGTTGGCGCCGGTTGTTTAGTCTCTCACCGAAGGGTATAGTTTGGTAGAGAAGTCTCTCACCGAAACCCTTTTGGGCTT